ACTCTGTCCGTTGTCTGGGGTATATTTGAAATCGACTCTGATTTCGTCTTCAGGTTATTGGTTATCATTAACTAGATACTGTACTGTTATCACCATCATTATTATGAGTAGAAGTATAATGGCAAAGATATTTTCGTGAATTTTGCACCCTTTAATACAATCGAGAACATAGGAAAAACAATTTTCGGAAAGTTGTCACAAATACTGTTTTAAAAATGTTACACAATATACACATGAACGCAATACCTGTGATAAATTACAATTAAATGTAAGCTGTAGTGTAACAAATAAACTTCGGTCGTAATTTTTGGACCAGGGAATTAAATTAAACCATTACTGCTACTGTCGTGTATATCCACTCTGAAACATCGGGGCACACGGTTTTTCTGTGGGCTAAAACTTCCAACGTCCACATAATAACACAGGACGAACAAACTCTACACAATCTTGCATTATTCATGGGAGTTATTTCAGAACGAACACGCAATTCCAGTAAGGAGTGTCGGAAAAGTAATGTGCATTCCAAATACTGAACATCAGCAACATGACCTCAATAATTCTCGATCACAACTCATGTTTACAAATTTCAGTAGACGGAATAGATCAGATGCTCTACTTTGTTATTAAGAATAGCTACGCATAATAAATGCCTTCCTCATACAAGGCACATAAACAAATTGCATCAATAATTTTCTGCAAACATGACCATCCCCGTCATGATGGATTACGTACGAAGTGGAACTGAGGGAAATGTTTTGATGAACTCTTAAGCAAAGCTGAATACTTTTAGTTACTACCTAAAATCGTAGAAGACAGAATCTAGTAGTTGACTAGCTGGTCAAGAAACCCAAAGGTTTATTACCTTGTTCACAAAAACCTGCCATTGCCCCTAATCTGTGCCACATGAATCCAATCCACTCATCATAGGCCACTTATTTAAGATTAATATAAATACAATCCTTCATTTCCACCCAGCTCCTCCAAGTGGTCGGTTCCAGTGAAGTAACGCTACTTTTTCCTCATGATACAAAAGTTCTTTTGATTTTCTCCTTACAGAGATGTAAAGTTTAATTTCTGTATTCCGGTTACTTTTTGTTCAATATCTGAAAACGCTCAGATCACGTGTTCACCTTGTATAATTAAAATTATAGTTCCAATGAACAAATAAGTCACAATTAGGTACCGGTTTAAATAAATTATAAATCTGACACAAAATCGCGGCAGCCATGTTGAACACTTATAAAAATGTAAATTGTAAAAAAAAAAATTGAAATTCGATCCAAAATGACGTGTTTCATGGCCTATCTGTAGCTTGTTCATTTCAGAGTTCTATTTCTTTAAATCGTTACCTAATTATGACTCACGTGATAGCGCAAACGTCAACCACTGCTTTGACCATGAAATTGACTTGGATGGGAATCTCTCAAAAGCGTGTGGTCCGTATAAAAAATTTGAGTTCTAGTTTTTAAAACAAATACGTCTAAGACGAGACTAAAATTCTCTGAAATCTTTGGTAACAAGAACAACTCTTAAGGTTCAACACAACACGATACTGAGCTACTTTCATCCACCTCCGCCGTGGCTATAAACGCATCGAAGGAATACGTCGCCTCTACCTCTTAACCTCACACCTGCTTCTGCCTTCGAAGACGTTGCGTAAAAGCAAGACTATGAAAACCACACACGAAGTGCGTGGCTTCAATAATTCCCACTTTTTACGTACGCCAAGACGCAACCCGTTAGTGGACAAAAAATTAATCACAAGCATCTGGGCACGCAGTTGTTAAAACACTGAAAGGTGTTGGAGAAAGTGCCTTGGGTGTAAAATATAAAAATAGGCCCTGAAATACCGAGAGACAAGGCCTTTGTCCTCAGACTATTTCAGCGTGTCCCACACAATGTTCTGCTGAACTCTCCGCACGAGAGAAAGGATTCCGAGAGAAATGTTGTTTCGTAAGGTTGACAAACCTGGTCTGTGGAATTAACAGAAGAATGCACATCGAAGGATTTTGAGAAGAAGATGCAGAGGAGAATATTTTAACCTAAATTAAACACATAATGAGGAGCTTCTTAATTTCTACCCACCACATAGTACCAAGATGATCAAATTAAGAAAGTTGAGAGAGAACATGTGGCGCAAATAGGCGAGATGATAAATACAAATAAAACTGGTCTAAAAACCTGAAGAGATCACTCGGAATAACTAGACGCAGATGGAATTTACGGAACTCGGGTGGGAGGCTGTGCAGTGGATTGACATGGCTCAAAACAGAGACGGGTGTTGTGAACTCGGCAATGAAACTTCTTGTTCCATTAAAGGCGGAGAACTTTTTCATTAGCTGAACGATTATTAGCTTCTCAAGATGGAGTCTGTTCCATGAAGTCACTTACAAATACAAATAGAAAAGTAAGTGTATAAACATGAAGCGAAAAGGCAGATCTGCCGGTTATAGTATGAAGAAAACTGAAAGAATTTTTTTAATTGTAATATGAGACCACAAATAAGGTTTTGCCCATTTACAAACCCTGCTCTCATATATGCGAGAATTAACCTGCGTCTTAACACGTAGCAAATGACCTTGGTGTTGGTATATTCAACCTTGTAGGTCATTCCACTATGAACATACGACTTGAAATACGCACCCCTTCCACTACCACCAACTCTGACATCAGAGATACCAACAATAACTGCTATAATTACCCCCAGGCTCTTCCCACATCCGCTCTTTTAACTAGCGCTTCAATGTAACACAGGCTTACTTAAATCCTTTTTGCAACGCTAAAAAATTATTGTCCTTGGCAACAAACCTACCGCATACAAACAGACTAGTCATGGAATGCCCTCTCTGGATGCATAAAACCTGATGTTTTAGTGGTCTTCATATAGGTTTTAAGAGAATTCTTTTTGAGCAAAGTGAAGTGGAAACAATTTCATGTCGTTAGTTCCAATGTCTCCAGACTCATAGCAAACACAGCAGGTGCTCAACCATGTTCTGCTCAGGGCAAAACGAAGTGTGATTCACATGCGCAGATGACGTGTTTTCTGTGCATTCTCACAGCACGAGACATTTGCTACGGAGCTGCTCTCAAGACACTGAAGAAATGCAGTTCCAATGTAAAATACGTGTCCATGTTCCTCTTCTGGGTTCCGACACCTTGTGTACTTGCAGGTAGACACCAACACTGTTTTCTACCTAAAAGATGAAGACGGAGGCTGCATGTTTCTCCTGAAAGATAGTATCTTCTTACAAGGCTCTACAACCCAGAAGACTAACATCGTCATCCGTTGTGCTGCGAACCTCAATGTACAATATTGTTTTCAGGCGCTTATAATTCCATTACGACACAAAGGAGGCTGAGAGTAAGACCCTATGCATTAATCTGTATTAATTTTATTAAACTCGGATAAAGGGGCAAGTGTTCTACTTCACACTCCAGCATCATTTACGTACGGCGAAACACCCGCCATTACGTTTCGCTTTAGGGCGTGAGTCTTAATATAAGCACATGATAAGTCATTTGAAAGTGTTTAAAAATTCAAGCATCTGCAAACGGTGTCAATAATTCTGACGCCTTCGTCAAAAAGTGACCGCTGACATTTAATAAAGGTAACTACAGTAACCATGATAATCAGCCTGGACATTCCACGTGAATTGCTGCCCGATTTTAATCACAACTGAACTGTATTAAATAATTCCATGTAAAACGTGAACAACTTCTTTAGTGAAGAATCAGCTTTAGCTTCATATCACTAATGTAAGAATGCAAAAGCATTCTCATTATCTACTGACAACCTATAATTAGAGCTGATTTACATAGATAAGTAACCAGTTTTATTACATACTACCCTGGAGAATTACTGTAAAGCATATGTTGATAATTGCAGCCCACTTACCCTCGAGTCCAATATCAATTACACAGATATGATGTTAACTATCTATTGGAAAAAGATCAGAAATGAACACCTACAATTATACGTTTTTTCTTATTGGAGCACTTAAGTCATCTGAAATTAAAATGAATCACCGAAATGTTTAACGAATACAATTCCAGTCTATTCCAGATTAATGATATTGCGGCAACCAAACATAATCTTTCACAAAAACAGAATGACATTATGGGAAATATAAACAAGTTAAGAAATGTACACATAGCATAACAATTCTGGTAAATTCACTCTGTTGTTGCCTCTAGATTTCCAATTTGTGAATGATAACTTTAGATATTCTTAATATTAACAGTTTTTTTTGTATCCAGTACACGCCATTCAGCATGGTGTGCATTGGTGGTTAGCAGGATTCACGACCCATCAGTACATGGGTTCGACCGGGACCGCGACATTTAACGCTCCTGCTGTGACCCCCTTTTCGCGAGATGATGAAAGTGGAGTAATTTTTGGGATGCAACGGGAGAAACCGGGGAAACCCCCGGAGGAAAACTCCGTGATGCTTGGACCACGGCCTTGCCCAACACAAGTTATAAATCCGAGCACTGCCGGGAATCGAACCCGAGACCCCCAGGATTACAAGCCCAGCGTTCTAACCGCTAGACCACCGTGGCGGTTATGTAGAGTTAGAGTAAGTGAAGGCAGAGGGAATGGGCCAGTCAGGGATGAGTAAGGAGAGGAAAATGTCAACGTAAAAGAAGCGCAATGGTGAATCCTGCTAACCACCAATTCACACCATGCTGGATACGGGGGGGGGGGGGGACTCTACATAATTCCCTCCACTTCCCAGCATGTCTGTAACGGTCTTCTTCGTCGTGATGCCACGTGGACTTGTAAGTGGGCACCAATGTTTCAGAGACACTCTAAACACCTACAAGCTGACACAGCACCACAAACCATAAGACCACCACAGACACTAGGGACATTACCTTCAGTTTAATTTTCAAGAGTATTGCATTTTATACCTCAATTTGACACACTTTGCTCTTAAAATGATTTCAGAGAATGCAGAGAGTGAAAGGAGAGGCAGGAAAGAATAAAGAATACAGCTCACCCTTAACCGCTGGTCGGCGATGGTCCACACCCGGCTGGCAAAATCACTTGATGCTCCGAGAATGAGGGCCCCTGTCGAGTCAAAATCCACCGACATAACTCCTGCATTACTTCCGACAAGCATGCCTTTGCTTTCGAACTGCCCAACTGAAATGAAATAATGGAAGTACTCGTAATAACACGACATAGTATTAATACAGAATATAATGTAACATAACATAGCGTAGCAATACGCGAAACTTATAAGATAGATTCTGACATTGCAGTTTTACCCACACAATTTTAGTCGTAAACAATTCTATGAACTTTCTCTCCATTGGTAACCCGACTATTTACAGAAAATTTTACATGAAATGCACAAATTTTTAAACATATATACCTCAATGTCGCACTTTAAAATGCAATGTTTCTGGTGAATAAGTGCATATTATCGTCACACGAGAGCAGCTCTTTCACTCTCGTAATAGGGATGTGCTGTAGGGGACTTCATAGGATTCACAGGAACCCCTTATTATTTTTTTACTAATTAACCAAACCCTTTGTTATTGGCACAGAATATATCAGGTTATACAGACAATACACGAACGTCTATTCTTCCAATTTCAGGTGTTCTTTATAAACACAAGAAGCGGGCTACAATGTGTGCACATACACATTCATTGACAATCTTGATGTGGATCTTTTGTGCACACAAACCAATTTCTTAAGGTCTGTCTTACACATCATCTGCTAATCTCTTATGGCTGAAATTATCACAAAAATTCGTAACAAACTGCAACAAATGACCAAGCGATATTTGCAATGGAAAAGGGTTTTCTTAAGCTATGGAATAAATTATTTAAAAATTATTTAAATACACGTTTCCTTCAAGGGGGTAAAGATATCCACCAAATTTTTGTACAATAACTAAATAACTAGATGGCTTACCGAACCCGAAGGTTCATCACCGAATTAACCAAAGCCCTCCACCGTACCCTGTCCTGGGCCAACAAAATCCAGTCTCCTTCAACTCCTATCTCCCATAGATCCCGCCTGAGATTATCCCCCCATCTACGTCTAGGTCTCCCCAGCGGTCTCTTCCCCTCAGGTTTCCCAACCAGTATTTGGTGCACAACTCTTGCCCCATCCATGCGTGCTACATGCTTCGCCCATCTCATTCTTCTTGACTTAATCACCCTGACAATACTGGGGGAGGAGTACAGATTCTTAAGCTCATCATTATGCAGTTTTTGTACGATAAACTGTTTATAATTAAATTCATAACAAACTTTTTAAATTCAAGTATCATATGATATATGTGTCATATTAAACCAATATAGACCAAAATTCATTTGGCTAGAAGTTTGCTTCTTGCTTCAGAAACCCAGATTCAGTGTCAGGTGATGTCAAGTGGGATTTGTGGTGGATAAAGTCATACTCCAGGAGGCGTTTCTCCAAACTCTTTGGATCTACCCTGCTAATCATCATTCCACCACTCTTCCATCACCATCTAATGAGGGATATGATAATCCTGACCAAGCAGCTCATTATCTTACCCTCGGACTAAAGTTACAGGCTTATCTCTGATCAAGAAGTAGATTGATCTTAGAGGAAGGTAGTTTAAATTTTAGTTTCAGTTAAAAACCAAGTTTATCTCACAAGTATTATATAAATTACGACAAAATTATTGCACTTACCATACTTTCTAACCCACTGTTAAAACTGTGTCCTCCGAAACTCAAACACATTTCAGATCAATGCTACAAGTTCTTCAAGACATGAACTTCATGTCCGTAATTTTAAATGACAGTACAAATTCTACTTCTTAGGTGTCCAAAATTTGTAAATTATGTAAACATTGTCTTTCAGCTTTCACAAAAATAAATATTCACCAAATGCAAAAACCAGGCGGCATAACAAATCAAATACACTCTGTGTAAAAATATGTATAACTTTTCTCTTCAAGAGAGTGAGCAAAAGAGAACTTGAAAATGCCGTTCAAACACTGTACAAAATTAAATGTGTCGCAAACAGTCTCGGTATATACGACAAGCAATTCTTCGAGAACCGTAACATTCATAAAAAGAATGTTCTTAGAGCCAATTATGAATACCTCAAAATCAGTTATATTAATTAAATTCTCTGGATCTCATATTATTTTGAAACAAAAATAAATAAACTGAAATAAATTTCTTTCTTGATTCAGATCAACCTTACCAATGGCGCCAAGGCATCGACAATACGGTCACCTGAGTTAAGTTCATTCTGAGACAGTAGTCTATATCACGGTCACTTCCTTTTTTCAAAATGCTGACTTTGATTATACTCAAGTGTCACTTTTACATACTAAATTATGATCTCTCTGATGTATCTGACATGTTCCTATCAGCCTAAGTCCAAGTATATTACGAATGTTGTACTCTTGATAGTTACGTTTCTTGACCTGGAATAGCTTACTAATACCACTAATAATTTTATGTAAATTCCCATTCCAAATTTTCACTTAAAAAATATCTTCTCTTCAGACTTTTATAATGAAATCTTCTAACGAAACTTGCATGTGGTATACACAGTACAGATTGATAAATGCCACAGATCATTCTGGACCATGTTTATCCTCAGCTGGGGCATGTATATGATTACACCTGTGCTTCCCAAACCTGGTAAATTACCCAAAAAGGGGTAAAGGTTTTTCTTTGGGTGACGACACACCTCGGAATGCACGTTAAAATTTATCGTAAAAGTGTAGAAGAAGTACTCTGAAGAAAGCGATCAGTCATTGTGCACCGATGCTCTAAAACATTCTAACAAGTATTTATTTGCTATTTGCTTCCAATTTTGCGGAAACAGTAAATAAGAAGGAGCGGTAGCATTGTACTCATTAGCTGGGACCTGGGTTATGAAATATTCATGGTGAATAATTACCAAATTTTTTGTGGCTATTAAAATGTTTAAAATAAAGACATTGCATCAAACATTTTGTTTGCTTCCTATTTTTTACCAATCTCTCTTCACTTGTCATATGTTTTCATGTGCAGTTAGTGTTTTACCTACATCGGGTAAAAAGGACTTTCTGATAAGTGGTTTTGGGTAATGAAGGAAAAAGTTTGGGAAGCGGTGGATTACACCAATGACATGTCAGTACACGACATCTGCCATTAACAAGTCTTAGTCTCCTAACTGCTAATCTCATTCCATTACATATAAAATAGTCAGTCACTAAACAATGATCAGCATTCCCTTTCCTAAAAATATATAAATATATATAGTTCAATGCCTTTTCCTGTATTTCTATTACAGTAAAACCCCTCTAGTTGGACACCCCTATATCCTGGACACCCCTCTATATTGGACACTTTTAATTGGAACCGGCGAATATCCTATAATTTTACATGTCCACAACACCCTATATCTTGGACACCCCTTTATCCTGGAACTTGAACACCCCTTGTGTTGTACGTTGGACAGGTTCATGCACTTAGCGTCAATGCTTTTATGGGAAACATTTACAGTTAGTATTTTGTTATTTTGAATTTCTGACTGATGAATGCCTTCTACCTGAGGATTACCTTATGGTTGAGGGTGTGAGACATTGAACACATCATTGGAATGCAGTGAAAGTGAATAGATATGCTTTTGTTAAACCCCTCACTGGAGTTTTAACTTTGTCAGTACTGTACTTGCAACTGAGTTAAACAGTGTTAACAGAAATTGGAACGGTATGCGTTCGCTCATAATCAACCAGGAATGGTTGAAACATTATTTGGATTGCGGTGATTATTAGAAAGAGGATGGGCAAATTCCAAGATAAAAGCAAAAAAGCAGTGTCTTGGGACGGGTTTCTTTACAACAAATAAGTGACATCTTATGTTGAGCTTAAAAAAATACATTCTGAACATTTAAAATTTCATTGAGGCTGGGTGTAATGTGCAACCATGAGAGTGGGTTTCAAAAGATTATTATTATTGTCATTAATTCTTCATTCAAGCAAGCCTACAGTAGTTAGATTATGTAAAATAGATTACATTGTCGGTAAACGTAAAGTATTGGTGCCCTTCCCTTTGGGCTTATCCATGCAAGTTTAATTTAGTGAAAACAAAATTTGTAAAAATTTAATTTACCCTTTTCATTTTTCTTATCAATAATTTCTTTTTGGGGAAGGGCTCCATAATACTCTACAATTACCACATTGTCATTACACCACAATTTGAAAGGATGATTTTCCCCTTTCCCTCTATCTTGGACACCTCTGTAAGTTGGACACATTATCGTGGAACCGCAAGTGTCCAAGTTAGAGAGGTTTTACTGTACATCTAAATTATACTTTTCTATACGTATTTCTACATATTTAAATGAATTTACCCTATAAATAATCATAAAATTCCAACTTAAAAATCTTTAGGTGATTCAACAAAATAACATGTCCAAGTCCAGGCCCTTGGGTAATATTTCATAAAATGGTAGATTTTTACAGACGTTAGTTCTACAGCCAACATCCAAGCTGGATAACCACCCCTCCTCAGCTACCCTCAAAACCTTATTCAACATAATAAGAGCTATCTTCCATATTGAGGAGGCATCTCCTCATTCCACAACCTGAAGATGTGCCACGTTGCGGTGAAAATGGACTCTCGGTTAACTCTAGTTTCATTGGCAATAAGAGAGTTGTTACCATACCTCAGACCAACCACATTCGGCTTCCATGAATAAACTTTAGGTGTACAATTTATTCATTTATGGTTTATTTAGCCAACCCCAATCATATATCCCTGTGGGCACATTGCCATAGTGTTACCACATATCAGAATTACAAAATAGGTTAACCAAAGGGAAAAAAATAAAAATAATGGTAACATAAACAATTTATTCTCAAAAAAATCTTACATTTTGTAAAAATAATTTAGACTAAGCATGGCTATACCAAAGTACTTTTCATAAAAACAAACTCGGCACTACTGATGCAGTCAGATCCAGTAACAATTATTTCAAGTTCAAGACTTGTTGCTGTTGCTAGCTTGACTTGCCTGAAAGCACAGAGAGGTCAAAGGTGCGACGATAAGACGGGGAAACAGACACGCAAACTTAAATTCCAATATAGTACGTCCCATCCTAAAAACATAATTATAAACTCTGCAACATAATAAATTATCTGTTGATAAAAATCAAGCTACTAATGTCAATATGAAACATATTTTAAACATTATATAAATGTGAATCAGTTTACATTAAATTAATTAAAAGTGAGATAAAATCTTGGATAAAAAACAGCTGCACAGTGATGTTTTCCAGTAAATATTTTTAATGAACATTCTTCTATACGTTTGTGTTCTAAGGTTAATATTCAACATTTTTGGAAAAGCAGCAAGAATCACAGGACAAGTAAAAAAGACGTCAATTATTATGAAGCCAATTTTGTTATTTCCTAACATTTAATTATGGCAAGAAAGATGAGAGTAATGTTAATTGTACTACACTTTGTGGCTACAAAACAAAAATGCAAAATGCGAGCAATTGCTTTCATTATAAGAACCTCATATTTCTTACACATAAACTCTCTTTTAGTAAACGTGGAATCGGGCGTAATCAGATGCTGTGGAACATACTAGAGGGGAGGGGCATGAATGCCCATGCTCTCTGATTGGCTCCCAGGCCCTCACCAAATCCTGACCCTACTTGCCTTGACTCACTGGCACCTAATCAATTCCACAAGCATAGCTTATTCATTGCCCTGATGATGGAGGCAGCACGGCCTCTGAAATGGTGGTAAACTTGTACCAGAATACAACCCAGGAGACAGCCATGTTCATACTTGCCACCATGAGAACCTCAAATCCTATTTAAGTGCATTAAGGTTTTCTACAATTACAATTATCATTTATGAATTAACATTAATATCCAAAAATGTTATCTGGTAAATAACCCATGTTTTTTAGTTCTGTATGTAAGAAAGTCTGTAATTTAAGGGTCAACACTTAGTCTGAGCTACTGACAATGTTAAATAAACCATAAATAAATAAATAAAGCATTAGAAGCCAAGTGTTTTAACTCTAGTTGGTACTCATCTTCATGCATGCAGTGGCAATTGCTGGTTAGTTATTTTAAAGCATCAAAAGCTGATGTAATCCATTTGTCATGCGGCTAATTCTATCAGTAAATGGATTCACATAAACAAGAAGTAAAAATTTACATTCCAGAATTGTAATCTTGTTTCTTCCGCGAATTCTGAATCCTTCACTACAAATATCTAACGTTATGACTTAAAATAGTGATTTCAAAATGATCGCCACAGAACCAACATATATTACAGGCTATATACTGAACTCATCAACCGCCTTGTAATGCAAAGCCAATGCCCTCCAAATCTACGGTGTTCTGTCACCAATCAGTTTCTAATAAAAAACTAAATCACCAGAAAGAAAACAACATTTAAAGTGTAAAGTTAAATAAAGCTGTCCCACTATATGCCATGTAGGCGCTTGGGGGGAGCGGAGGTATAGCTCCTACTCATTCTTGACCTCGGCATTAGATGGGGGTGAGTGGTCAGTATCACGCCCCGGCCTTGATTTGCCCCCGGTACCCATTGTAGAGGAGGCTGGGTGGGCCCCAGAGCCACTCTGGACGTAGAGACTAGAGGAAAAATCCTCTGCCCCCGTCAGGGATCAAACCCTGGTCGCTCAGTCCGTAGCCAGTCACTATACCGACTAAGCTATGCCGGCTCACATTTAAAGTGTATTTTCACATATTCTGGTGAACTTAAAGAAAGTATATACATCAGATTGCAATTCATTCATTTGTTTTGTTAATAAGAAAATAAGTAGGTAAGAGGCAAAAAATAAATATTATGATGAAAAGATACGCTTATCAATTTTAATGGGTGCTGTCAATGGTGCGTTACAACTGGGATCACTAAATTCTTGGACAATGTCCATCACCTGTGTTTTTGAAAAAGAACACTACTCTCCGCCTTTTTACCCGAGGATGGAAGCAGATCCAGCTTCCGAAATTTAGCGTTCCTTCTAATAACACAGTCCAAAAATTTAGTGATTCAGATTATGTTTATGTTTTACATTGCCCGCAGTCTCACGGTTATTAAAAAAGATCTATTAGATGGATTCTGTATATCCGTGTCATAATAATTTATCTTAAAGAAAACAGTAACAGTGAACTGTACCTAAAAATGGTTAGACACAACAGACTGGTGTAAACAAGTTTACAACAACCACGATAAGCTACAAACTGCTTCCATGTGTTAAAATGTTCCATAACTTCAGAACTTTAAAGTTAGTTATACCAAACACAGAGAAAAGTAAGATTTCTCAATAAAGCCCATTTAATTCACACCAAAATCATATCATTCGAATGATCAGTGTACCATAATCTGAAGACAAATCCTCCCTCGTCACTTTATAAGATAATAATTCACTGCACATTTCTGTTATACAGAAACACACTCCGATATTATTACTAGTACCAATATTATTTATTATTATTACAATGAAGACTTAGCATGAAGATTGTAGACTGAATCCTGTAGGTACAGGGATGGGAGATTCACCCCCTTCCTTTACCACATAATACACTTGTTCAAACACACACAAAATATGAGATTAAAATGTTTGTTCCAAAATGTTGCTAGTGATTTTAAAGATAAAGATAAAGGTCATTAAAAAAATCACTGAACAAAATAAACTTTGTATGTAATTTCAACCTCTCTTGTGTCGCCAGCAATGACACACAAAAATGCTTCTCGTGGCTGTCGATATCCCACCTTGTCATGCATCGTGAATTTATTATTCCATTTTCATAGTATGTACTCTGGTACATAAAGAAAAATAATATATTCTAGGTATTATTCTAAAACTATATATCTCAGCACCTGCATTTTTGTTACGTGAGGACATAACATGCAGAGTACTTGTTGCATAATCTTGTCAACATTATCTTACAATGAATTTCAATTTGTCAGCCTCACCTTTTGATAAGTCCCAAAGTTTTACTCTCCTATCAGCTCCCCCAGTGGCCAAAATTCGATCCACAGGGCTCCACTTCACAGCATTTACATCTCCATCATGTGCATCCTAAACACAGTTACAAACGTAGAACATTATTTTACATTTTCCTAAAAAGTTTAAAAACAGAAGATGAGAAATGAAAGTCTGAAAATAGGCATGAAAAATAGAACTGTTTTTTGTTCAGAATATCCCAAACACAGCGCTGTAAAAAGGAGATATAGTTGGCAACATTTTGTATGCCGCAATTGATATTTTACTCTTTATTAGTGCACATACAGCTTTTTTCTCAAACACTTAACCCCTTAAGTGTGGGCACAATTTATGCTATTGCATCACCAGGTGATTTTTTATGTATTATGGACAATACATATTTATTAGGTACAGAAAACAAAATTTTCATGTCTAAATTCTTAGGTATTTTACTAACAATTTCACTACATTTTTAAAACATTTATCATTTGTTTTATTGTTTATTAGTGGAGTAATTCATGTTAAATTCTTTTTAATGTTTTGTGGGACCTACTGTTCAAGAAATAATTTGCAATTCCATCAAATTAGTGAGAAGAAAATCATTACACCAAAAACTATAGTTCTGTCTTGCGTGACCCTGAACAGTTTTTCTTTCATATCTGAGCCTCCAAAATAAGTACAACATAATAGGAAGCCAAAATTCATTGGGCAGTATTTGTAAGGCTGGCTGATAAGGAAGTCAAGAGAATAATATGCCCTGTATTTTTCTGTCTTTCCTTTTTTACCAAGACCTTGAATGCTAGGAAAAGTTTCTGATGAAACACTTAAGGATATTCCAAACACAAACTACACTTAATTTATCTCCTTCAAGCTGTGGTTACAGAAGGCACTCCTGAGTAGAGCTTATAAGACCTTCCACGTAGATACTATGATAATGTCAGAAACATTTTCCTGCTCTATCCTTGTCAATTCACTATTCAGAAACATTCTGAAATTTTCTGTCTCAACATATCTTGCAGCATTAGTGTTGGATATAAAATCTAGTGAATCAACTACAAAAAAGAAGAACACTTACAAACTTCACTAAGACTCTACTAGGAACAGAACTTGCAAAGAATGCACCAGCAGCACCAGTTTCTCTCAATCTATCGGGCGATAAAGCCCGAGTATCCTTTGCAGCTTCTTCTAGTTCTTTCTGTAATTTGGCCTGCTTTTTCCTAGAACAAACCAGACATTATTAGACATTACGTAACCTGTACATACTCAGCGTTTCACAACAGACCTGCTATACATTAGGGGGTGAACCTTGAGGTAATTTCAAATAAAGAATGTTCATAAAACAATGGGGTCTTAGGGAACTGATGACTTATGGGACCAAAGTAAACATAAGAGAATAATTCTAAATAAGAATAACCTTGCACCATAAAAAGGAAGATGTTTCGAAACCTCAGTCAAAGCCTCAGACAGAATGGACCTAACAATAGGACCGAATGGAAGAGGAGTACTGAGGAGGCCATGGACCGAATACGGACCAGAGAGCCATAGAACAAGAAGAAGAATTCTTGCACTGGATCATCGATGCCACTTACATACATGAATTCCCTGAAACGATTCTATAGGCTGTAAACTTTTGTTACGAACAAGAAACGCCCTTGCACTGAAAACCTTGGAGGACGTGGAACAGTTATAACACGTACATTGTGAAATGTTACAAAAAATTAATCTGATTAATATTCTGTTTACTTTTCTTTGTGTGTACTGTGAAACCTTGTGCAATTGTTTCTGCAGCAATACTGTAGTTAACTGTAAATTACTGTCATAACTATGTGATTTATATTTGTATTAGAAAAAAGTATTGTATTTGTGCTATGACATGTTCTACATCCTTGGCTTGGGCATATGAAGGATCTATGGAATGTAAATAAATTCATCTCTGTTCAATTCCATCTTTACTCCACGATGGTTATAACAGGATTGATATATTAACATCTTTTACTCAAAATTACCTCCCAAATCACCCCCTGACGTATGACTGCTTATGAAACATTCTGCATATTTATTTATAATCAAAATGAAATTTATGACCCAACATTCCACCAAAAGTTAATTCTCCTGTTTAACAGGAAATCCCACAGGCATGGAAGGAATACCTCTCTATAAATATTTTTATAAATGGCAATGCAATCATCAATGTTCTAATATAGCATTCGTATAAACCCTCTGAAGCCGAAACTCGTCTAAACATCATATCTCCTCAACTTTAAGACGATTGTAAGATTTAGTAATAGGTTTTCAGGAAAAAATAAGCTATATCCATTTTCAAATTCCATAAAATGTAAGATGCACACTGATTTCAGAAATTTTAAAAAATGAAAATAGCGCGTGTTAAAACTGAGGAAATATAGTATTTAAGGATTCAGTCTGTACCACAAAGAAAGCACCACGTTTTGCCATGGCAAAAATCATCTGGTTAAAGCTGTTAGAGAAAATAATACCCGTTTACAGTGAGAATCAGATAAAACCCATACATACACAATACAAATACAAAAATTCAAAATGCAGAGTTAGTAACTGCTTAAGCAAGTGCACTTTAAAGCGTTAAAATTCCAATACAACACAATAACACACACTAACAAATCTCATTTATTTAAGAATTCCACCTAATTAGTTTTGTTCACTAAAAATCCCATGCCTTAATTGCCTCAAACTTAATTCTGCATGAAGGGTGTTCGTGAATTAGTTACAGATCAACTAAGTAACTTACACACACACTCTTTTTTAAACAAAATAAACAGTAATGCTGGATTATTATTTCTGTTATAATGACAATGTAAAGAAGAATGTAGTCTATTTGAGACTTTAAACATACTACAATACAATACAACAGATGTACTTGATATTAAAATAAACTGTTAAGTCTGACAGCACAATATAATTAACACATAACCACTACCTGCACCTTGTCGTGGTGGTGGTGCTTGAGTACCTCAGTGACCCCAAGAGCTATGCGGGCGGTAGCATAGCTATTGGTAGGGTCTCCCTAGCCAGATTGGTCGAGGGGGAGAGGTCAGACTAAGACAGGTACCCAGGTCCTCCAGGTTGGGTGTTGGTCGCAAGGCTAACAACCTTGCACCATAAAAAGGAAGATGTTTCGAAACCTCAATCAAAGCCTCAGACAGAATGGACCTAACAATAGGACGGAATGGAAGAGGAGCACTGAGGAGGCCATGGACCGAATACGGACCAGAGAGCCATAGAAGAAGAAGAAGACATAACCACTATGCTTCAAAATTCACCTCCATACAGTAATTTAAGTGAAGAACATATGTCATCAGAAAGAAAGTGACTTCCTCCCAAGTCACTATACAATTCAAAACTGCCAGTTCACTCAGTTTTTAGAGAAAATACAAGGCCTTGAAATGACAGCAGGTCTCTGGACTGAAACGTAAACCTGGTGTCTCCTGAATAGCACGCACATGTGCCAACGACTCAGCCATGATGTTCTGGTAACTATGGGATGAGCTCTTAAAATGCCTAGTAACTTGTCCAGACACATTCAACGTAGCCAAGAACAACGAAATGTGATTGATCTAAAATATGAGTTCAGTCTACACAAGTTTTTGATCAGACCTTGTATCTTTCTCACAAATGAAGTTCAATATTCAATCTTCCAAATTTTTACCATTTCAATTAGGACTGATTTAAAGTTGAAGTGTAGAAAACCATAATAAACTGACAATGTAAAATAAAATAATTTCCTGTATAAATATACATTCGAAAATAGAAGATGATAACGATTCCAACAGCAACAGTAAGCAATTACAACTTAATGTGTAACTTCAAAAACAATAAAAATCTTTAAAATAAATCTAAGACTTCTAGATTCCATAAAAATATGTACAATGTCCCACATGTGTAAACAGCGTTCTAGATCCTGTAAGATTATGCATTGTTCCAGAGCAACTTTCAAGGCCACCAAAAGCTTCTGCAAATAGTAGGTTAATTTCCAAAAGAATTAATCGTATTTACAAAATCTGTTTACTTACCCAAACAGCCCAAGTGTTTGTATCAGAAAGGCAGTTGGATTAAAGGCCCCATCGCTGGAAATAAAGTTTTGAAGCTTGGAGGTGTCTACAAACTCTACTTGTTAATTAAAATTACAAACACTCTGCAAATGAATAGGCAATAACTGTATTCAATTGCAGGTATTCTTTCCATATACATGCAGGATTACGATTTCAACTACAAACTAGAGTAAAGGTTATATATTACATGAACAATATAAATTTTATGTAATCATACCGTACAAAATTTTCATTTTCTTCATTCATCTTTTCTGCATCTTTAGATTTATATCTTATGAGTCTTTCCACCAAAGCACGATTTTCATCCTGAAATAGACAGACTTCAGTCAAATGGTCACATAGATCATCACAGAAACCATAAGATTTAATCTTTAAAATTCAACCCTCCTCCAAAAATTATTAAAATTTCACTGTTTCAGTTTATGTTTATTACCATACACCACATTTTGTACATTAATTGTAAAAGCAATTCATCCTTATTAATTACTGGTTTATAATTGCCACTTGCGTGCTGAAAGGCAAGAGGAAGACCAAGGAGATAGCAAAAATGTAGAGACTAGGAAAAACAATTTCACATAAGAAAAAAATTGAAGTTTCAAAAAATACTGTACAATATTTTTATGTAAACTGCAACAACCAAATAAAAATGTCCCTTAAACTAACTAAATGTCTGGTAATGGAAACTGAAAGTCTGACAACACTAATATACCAAAGCTTGTTACCAACCTTATGCTGATCCACTTCACAACGTATTGCTTTAATACCCAATTTAACATTATCCTCTAAAAAGAAAATCCAAGTACCATAAATTTTATTCATGTTTCAGTATTTTACTTTAACTCCAGTCAGATTCTCCAATAACAAAATGTATTATTAAGAAACAAATATTATTACTTCTTCTTTTATAGCAAAACAGCCCAAAGTCGAGCCTTGACTTCCTCCCATGTGGGAGGTTTCTTTGCCTTTGAAGTGTGATTTATGAGTAGTGAGTGACCAGCCCACTGCCTCTTCACAATTTCTACTCAATCCTGATTTGTCTGCTAGAGCCATCTAGTAGTGAATCACAAGAGACTTGGGTGAGAAATGGCCGCTGAATTTTGCTTACGAAACATCTCGTTCATGCTAGTAAGGTTCTTTTACATGCCGTAAATCTACGACATGGGACCGCTGGCTTTACTTCCCCTCCAAAGGAAGTTGTGCCACAGATTTTTATCACCCTTAAAAATCCATCGACGTCGGCCGGGTTTGAACCCACAAACCTTGGGTCCAATGGCGAGCACACTAACCACTAGTCCATCAAGTGTGACAAATATTATTACTAAAGCTACAATTTTACTGCCTACTTCTACTTTCGATGAATTACAACTTTACAACTTCACACAAAATTGTTTTAAGAAAGAAAACTGTCTGAAAAGAAAATACAAATGTTAAAACTTTAGGCAGTATATTACTTGTGAAAAAAAGTAAATAATGTTCAACAGAAACAATGCTATGGCAGTGGAAATAAATATGATAAACTTTACGACAAAGTTTCAAAAAATCTTACAAGCCTTAGAATCTTATGCTACTAAGTACTATTACTGCAAGTACCTGTGCTTTTCTCAATTTCTCTTCCAGAGATGCAAATGCTAACTGTAAGGCTTGATGTTCATCTTTCAACATCTGATTCAGATTCTCAAGTTCTTTTATGTTATTCTGGTACATCTGTATTTCAGCTCTTAATGTAGTATTTACAGCGACACTGTCTGCGAAGCTGAAAACAGAATAATGGATTTAGTAGCAAGTACCTCCTTAATGCAATTTGAGATTTTCACAGCATTGACTGTGAAGATGGCTGTCTTCTGGGTTATAGTAAGAAGTTTATTATCGTTTCAGAGGTACTCATTGCCCTGACGATGGAAGCAGCAAGCACTTCTAAATATCAATAAACTTCTACCAGGCTTCACAGCACTAGAATCCAGAAGACATCTCCTTGTTAACTACAGCATCCTCAAAAATAAATTGATGGTTCACAATGCCCTACTAATCATATAAAGCTTCTTAAATGACCTTCCATTTCAAGTAACTGTAATGGAGCTTTGTAGCCCTCTGCAATGATCGTGACTACTACATAAAGTACAGTCATTTACCCAAAAATATAAGCATCTGTGACAATTTTCCACAGAATGTCTGAATGATTATCTGCTGCACTGATAAGATAACCACCATTCCTTGTGTTACATTTGTGATTACTGTATTTTGAAGTATTAGTAGCATAGTAGCTTTGCCATTTTGTAACAATAAATGCTAGAAATATGGCCAAAACATTAATTCTTCCCATGCCAGAGTGAGAACATCTAGAGTTATACTACAGTCCACAATCTCCGATTCCTTACTTCAAATGATGTATGTCATCAGTTTTCAGACTCAATATCAGTTCTCTTTTGTAATCCGAAAGTACTGTCTGGAGACTGACGTCGCAAAGGTTGTGAACCTCTTTTTCAATCCACCACCCTGGGAAATGCCCATTTAGACCTTCAAGAACAATCTCTGCATATGAAGTGGGAGCTCAAACGACTTTACAAAATTCCTCAGTCACATTCTATTTACAGTAACATAAAATTATAACATCTCCACATATGGTGTGTGAATGACTAAATGAGCATGAGCATCTGCTGAGGCAGTGGATTGGAATGCATTCACAACATTATCAACTCTGGCTATCAGACTCCGCTATTCTTACTTATGGGGTTACATAACAGGTGGTGCTAAATGTGAAAATCAAAAACACAAACCACAAACAATATAGAATGAGAGATAAATATATATCACTTAACATGGAATGTGATTGAAACTAACAATTTCTCTTCCATTTCATGCTTCTAGCATTAACTTCTAAAATGGCAAAGCCTGAAAACATTGATATAACTGTATGGAAACAGAGGACTTGCTTTTAGAAATGTTAGCAACAAAGCTGTACTTCTGCCATGTTAATGCTCCTTACCTCCCTGCAAGAGCCTGTAGCTGCTTTTCTTTCTCTTGCAATTTTTGGTTTAAATCGATAAGCTGTTGGGCATTCTCTCCTTTACGTCGATGCAATTCTGTCAACTCTTCCTGTTGATGTAGTAATTTCTGTTCCAACGCTTGAATCTTCTCATTAGGTTTCCCATTGCCTGAGCCACTTCGATTGTGGAGTTCAAAGTTTTCTTGTCGCAGCTTCTCATTTTGTACTGTCAGCTGAAGATTTTCTCCTCGCAATGCATTAGAACTATCGAACAGCCTATTGTCTGAAACACAAAATAATCCCTATAATTATCTATTTATGAAACTTGCATAAATGTTTTCCTAGTTCATAATCTCTACACACGAGGTTTCAAAACATACTGGCATTTCACAAAATACCAATGAAAAAGAAATTCAAACCGTTAAATATAGAACATGCTTACGAAACGATATAAGGTCCTGGAAACAAATGCGCTGTGATCTGTTCCTATTCTGTAGCCGCAAAATTATTGTTTTTCTCCAGTCCGAGTAATCACTTTTAACATCGGAGGCTGCCATATTCAATTTATCCTACTACATGCAAAGAGCACGGAGGTAGCAAAGAAAATGATAATAGTAACCACACATTAAAACTCGAAAAATTCGACCAGAAATGAGGATAAAAGGGTACTTTTAAAGGTCGAGAGCAGTAATGAATACGGAATTGACGGCGGAACTACGAATTCCAACATGTAGTTATAAGCTTGGCAGTCAAAGAATATACAGACATTTTCCGGACGACAAATGTGCGTACTCTTTATGTAGCAAGAGGTGTCATCATCAAGAATTGTAGGAGACAAGTAAAATATCTCACGAACTACAGAAATGTAGAATAAACAACATTACACCATTGAAATACTGTATATTTAAGTGTTATAATACGTTAGCGTTAGCGAAGAACACCTTACAGCCACTTTGTCTGCTAGCACGTATTTCATTTCACCCGCAGAGATCGTTCTGCCATCTATCAGCATCCTTATAAACTACAGTTCTGGCCATACATTTCGTGAACGGATTTTTGTGAAATTTGGTACGAGAATTTGCGAATGTAACCCATTCCACACAGTAATTTCTGATTTTCTCCAACTGTTGACAGCAACGTGAAGGCACAAGTCTCTTTCAGAAAGGACGATGACATTATTTTCCATGATTTTCTGTACATGGTAATGCTGTCATCGTCCTTGACAATTATCTGTATGCATTACTCAGGAACAAATTAACTAATTTTCATGAAATTTGGCTTAGAGATTATACCAATGTAGCCTACCATTCCGATGTTTTGATTTTCTTCAGTCGATATCACCGTGAATGACTATAGCCTCTGAATAAAAGAAAATTGATGTAACTTGAAAACGTGCATCAAAACAATTACGTACCTTGACTGAAATCCTCTAAATGCACGTAATCAGTGCTCTGAATAAAGCACAACTAAATGCAGTTACTATTTTCCATAGACATCCCCAAATACCTCAACTCTGCCATTGACCAACTGACTACCTTGACTGCACAAAATATGAAGCTGTTTTGCACCAATATATACTGATACAGTAATTTTGAAAATGGCATTTAGTTTTCTAGATTAGAAACTATATTATGGAACTTGTCGATTGAATATTCTAAAACTTCCTCTTTGAAAAAATCTCCCAAATATTTGTAAACTAACTCAATTTCAATGGTAGATTTTAAATAACAAGTTATGCGATGTTTTTGTTAGTAGAATCATGACAGCCCATAAGCCTGTGAAAACACTCTCCCAAATACAGTCCAGTATGACCTTGGGCTATAAATGGGCCAGTCTAGGCCATTGGACAGCAGATTGCTAGGACTTAAAAAAAAGAACCAGACTCAACAGGCATGTGGCTGTTAGGCCAACAGCCTCATGACAAGACTTCTAATGTATCACGAGATACCTGCGCTGAATCTGTTGGGCCATGCTGCGATCCATATTCTTTGCAACATGTTTTCTTCATTATGTCTTCACATAACCAAATATTACCAGTACTGGCTGAAGAGAAACAGTATAAACAATATAATTCTTTTGAGAGTGTAAAAGTTTCATCTTTACAGTACGAATAACACTTGAAAATTTACTTCTTTGGTGACCTGTGTCAAAGTTTTATACTTTTTTATTAGCCTTTTATATTACCTATAATGATAGCATGGTTACATTCTTGGTGTAATTTCACAGGTTCTGCAAGTCTGGCTGTAAAACTTTTATTTTTTCCTAACACAAGGGCAATATAAGCTCCTGGATAAGTGGTTATACACCTCCACAGATGCTTCATTTTACTCAAATACAATTAGCACACATCAGTTACATCATTCTATATACATATGTGCAAATGCTTTTATAAAACTGTGGAGATAATGCAAGTTTTAAATAAATCTGGCAAGATAAAGGGAAACATCTCGTATTCACACAATCAACAAGATAATATTGTCTGAACTGAACTTATACTGAAGAAAATGCGCATATTGTACAATGATTACATTAGAAGTTACCATTTTTATTGCCTACTTAGAATCAACAGATATATGTGTACCAAAAAACAATGTGATCAGAAAATCTTAGTTAGCATTCTTATATCAAAATGCAGTCATCCACAAAGGAATAAAACTATTACACGTACATATTCAATTGTTGGAAACCAGGATGTCTAAAGGAAGTATAAACCATATGTCATGTCCCCTTGCTGGTAAAGCTGATGGCTGGTATTTGAAACTAATGTTTCATTTTCGAAAGTAGTAGACACTTTATGGTTCCATGATTAATTATCATTACTCAAGGAAATCATGATCATGTGAATGTCTAGATTGATAATTTACCACACAATGGTGTGGTCACCTCATGTGAGACAACACGGTACAACACCCTAGAAGGTTGTCATCTTCATATTCACTGCTGTGAGAACCTGAAACTTCACAGTACACTGTACTATTACTTGCAATTCATTTTCATTCCTTAATGAATTTCTATTTCCTTTACTCAACATTCAACTTGGATTTTCCCTTCAAAAACATAAAACAGGGATTTCACTGTAGTAGGTCTAAAGTTACTGCAGCCCCTTCTCCACAATTTTTAGTTAAGGAGCATTGCCAAATCTTTCATGATGGTAAAGTTCCTAAAATATAAAAAATCAAAACAAATACTTTCTTAGTTTTTCACTGAACTCACAAAACTTTTTCCACCATGCACATCCCTGCAAGGTACATAATTACATTAGACAAGTAACCCTGATTTAATTCCAGAGACTTCAAAACCAGGGCTGTGGAGTCGGTAAAAATTTACTGACTCAGATATAAAATCTTAAGAAAATACTATTTTAACACTTTTGCTACCGTGTGAGCCACGGGAAGGCCTCGCGCTTAGGGAGATTCAATGATGCGTTGAGCCACATGGTGCGGGAATAATGCTTTGTAACTATGGCTCCGGTACCTTAAGAATTCATACTGTTTACAAATCAACCGATTTCTCAATAACTATTAGACGTATATTTAAATATAGGTTATAAATCTAAAAAGTAGCCTGATGATTCACGTGGTGGTGATGAAATCTCTTATGGTACCATTTACCATTTTAGGCTGGGGCCACACAATAGTACAAAGTATGTCCGTTGTAACGCACATCGTGATGTCCGTCATAGAATTATGAATGGGCAAGACCACAGAACGCAATGGCTTCTTCCGGCTCCATTAGGGCAACTGACGCATCACACTGCGCTCATGTGGTGTCCTCGCCTACGTCCGTACAAAAGTACGTCCGTTGCAACGGACATACTTTGTACGGTTGTGTGGCCAGGGTCTTAGTAGGTTTACCATTATTAATACATATTGAGCTTTTATGAAAGAGAAGGAGCCTGAGTAAGAGGTTTTGGTACTGACTCCACAGCCCTGTTCAAAACGAACAAGCTGTGTCAGTATGGAGCAATACTGCTGTCCAATCAAATTTTTCCTCCAAGACAGATGCAAGCCTAGATTCCACATCTGCTATATTTATAGTCCTTGTCAAATCATTTGTTTGAATTTTGTTTGGATCATCCTTCACTTCCCTTTGTTTCAACAGTTCATGACCAGAGGTCTCATCTTCACTATCTACTCCTGAATCTTTTGTCTCCATTCTATCTGCTTTATCCTTCTTTCTCTCTTTCAAATTGGTCTTCTTTTCTTCTATTTGCTTGCTGCTAGAAGCTACAAGTGAACGAAGGATCGGACCACACAGCAGATTCATTGGAGGTATCGTGTATGCTGGAGCACTCAGCAATTCTCTGATGGCAGAAGCACCTGGATCTCCAAGCTGTTGTTGAGTATCAATATGCAGCTTTTCCACATCTGAACTCCTGTGCTTAGCCAAGAGTGTGCTAAAAAATGTAACAGGCTGAAGAGTTGAAATAGGCAAGGCTAGCCCTTCCTTCACATTTGCATCTTCACAAGGTCTCTCTAATGTCAATAATTCCTGGTTAGAGTCCAGAAAGTAGAGATGTGAATTTTCTTGCCATGGAATTCCAGAAGACCTCTCTAAACTGAAACGAGGAACAAATGCAGCACATAAAATGGAGCAATTCCCAGGAACAATGTTTTTGTGTATGTACAATGGTTTTGAACATCTTGGAGAGAACACAAATAAGTCATTATTCAAAGTGAACACTGCCATGAATTCTGAATATGGATCAGCTGTAAGTATGCTGACATGTATAGGAACTGTCCACACAAGTGACAGTGTCAGCAGATGCCACACATTTATGTTCACTGAGCTACCTGTTACCACCAGATGACCACAATCTACCATTCCAAACTGCACATGACTGAGATTTATTTTAGAGTGTAGTTCAGTGAGGCTACACTTTAGCTGGTTAGTTTCTGGCACCCATACTGTAAGCGTAGGACCAAATGTTACAGCCAGGAGGGAACCATCAGCAGAAAATCCTGTATCTCCAATCGGCAGATTTCGGAAGAAACCCACACTCTCACATCTCCAAACCATAACGCCTTTCTTGTAAATGCTGGAAGACTCAACAAGACTCCAGATACGAAATTTTAAGTCTCTCCCAGCAGTTACTGCCAACTGCTGCTGTAGATCTGGACTTGGCTGAAATTCAACTGATAAGACTCCTCCAATATGAGGCAGTTCAACCGAAGTGTTTAAACAGAAACTTTGTTTCACACTATCATAATTCCAGAACTTGAGACGGACCTCCATATTAGTTTCTCTATCATCACGTTCTTCCACTGTAGCCATCCACTCTCCATTACAATTCAATGATACTTTTGTAACATCTGTGTTCACAATCACATTATTACGTTCTTGAGTTAGGTAATTCATCTGCGTGATATCCAAGTTGTATAAGAGAGTCCCAGTATGTGGAGAATAGAATTGGATGTGCCCTGTCCTTCCATTCATCACTAGAGCCTTAGTGCGTGGGTCTACACTAATCCCTGCAGGAAACAGAGGTAAGCCATGTTTAACCTCAACCTGCCAGGTGAAATGCTGAATCACACTGATTAGTTTCAATTGGGGATCAACAATTTGAATACCATTGTCACTGGTAGATATAGCAAGGCATTTATTGTCTGGTGCCACTGACAAATGGCAAATAGAGTTAGGTAAACGAGGAAGGAAGCTTCTATCCAAAGGCTTGTTGAGAGTCCATTTTACAAGTACACATTCTCCTGCTCCACTGTAGAAGTGACTTCCTGTTTGTGAGAAAGTTACAGCTTGTACAGGCAATGTGTGCCAATGATACACAGCCCATGTTGGCTTTCCAGATGTCAGCAGGTTCCACCATATAAGCACACGTCCTGTGTTGTCTCCTGTAGCAATGCATCGCTCTTCTGGGTGACATGCTACGCATGTAAACCATCGTCCTCCACCAATATACTGCTTGTCACACTGCTTCCATTCAACAGCATCAATAAACTGTAACATATTTTTGTGAATACCTGCTACATACTCTTCACCTGGTTTACCTCCGTAGGCAACATTATGGGTATGATCATCCAGCTGGAACTTTAAGTTAAGTAGAAGACTGCCTGTCTGGCTGCAGAATGTTGACAGTTGTGACACGTCACGTTTTGATTTCTTCCACACAACACAAACAACGCATTTATCAGATTCACTTTCTTGAGGACTTGGTGACAAAAAATGGAAGCCAGTCACAGTTGCAGTTCGTTTATTCTTAAACTTAAGACACACTATACTGCTTGGTAATCTTGAGCTACAGTTCCATTGAATAAGCTCTCCTTTTTCAGAACATGCCACGATAACATTAGGGTATGATGGATGAAGCTGAACACCCGTAACTTTTCCCTTCAATCTCTCATACTCGCTCACCAATTCTCCAGTCCTTACACCGTATGCTCGAATAACAGACCCACATACTGTATACAGTATCTCTGCATCTAAAGAGAAAACAGGACACTGCTCAATTACATTTCCTCCGCCTCTTCTTCGTAGCACCAGTTTTTCTTCGGTATGTTTCATGATTAAATCAACACGTGAAACCACCAACAAGTATCCATTACCCCCACCATGCTTGCCACCAGAGATTATAATACTACCAACATGCCACGATCGCCAACATATAGAAGTGTACCTCAAAGCGATATATTGTCAATGATGTGCTTTAATCTATCCAACATAATGAAAAAATACACAAATGTTGTTTGTATGTTCTGCCATCTGTCTTCTGGCAACACAAGCACACTGTCGTGAACTGTTGGTCGAGTGGGAGGCCGATAGGTGGGTCATTGATTTCTTCAGTATGGCAGGAATAAATAAAGCTGTTGGGAAGGTGAGAAATTGGAACATTTAATCATCTGGCTTGAGAGAGGCAGAAGACTCCAAAATGTCTTTAAAACATTATAGTCATGCTTCAAACAATCACTCGTCGAAATATGAAGAAAATTTATTGCTGCTAGGTTATGTTTGATAATATATTTTGGACCGGAAGTATTTTTGTTGCTCTCAAAATATACAAACTCAAGTTTCTGAACGACTCATTTACAGAAGTTGACGAATTCAAATGTTCCGAATGTATCTATACCAACCGTTACTTTTAATAATATAAATAACTGACCTCCACACAGGGCAGTTGGTAATATTAGTGTACCAGAAAGGTGTATGATATGCAGGATAAGTGTATGAAAATTACCAATAAGAATTGAAATTGCCCCTAACAGAACACAATTTTACATAGCATTAAAAGAATTGGATAAACGATTGATCAGATCTTTTGCATTCGTCAGATACTAGAGAAAAATTGGGAGTTCAGTGGGACCGTACATCAATTATTTATAGATTTCAAAAAAGCCTATGACTCTGTGAAGAGAGAAGTGTTATATAATATTCTTATTGAATTTGGCATACCAAAGAAGCTAGTGATTCTAATAGAAATGTGCTTGAATGAAACCTGTAGCAAAATTCGAGTAGGTAAATATGTATCTGAGACATTCTTCATCAAGAACGGTCTAAAACAAGGAGATGCTTTGTCTCCCTTGCTCTTTAACTTTGCGCTAGAATTTGCCATCAGGAAAGTCCAAGATAGGCGGGAGAGTTTGCAATTGAATGGGACACATCAGCTATTGGCATATGCTGATGATGTTAATTTATTGGTGGATGATATAAATACAATACAGAGGAACGCAGAAGTTTTACTAGAGGCTAGTAGACAGGTGGGGCTAGAAGTAAATTCAGAAAAAACTAAGCACATGTTAGTATCTCGTCGTCAGCAGACAGGCGGGCAAGATTATCTTAGGGTAGCTAATAAATCCTTTGAAAGTGTTACAAAGTTCAAATATTTGGGAACAACAATAACAAATCAAAATGATACTCATGAGGAAGTTAGGAGAAGATTAAATTCTGGAAATGCTTGCTACTTCTCAGTTCAAAATATTTTGTCTTCCCGTCTGATCTCTAAGAACCTGAAAATTAAAGTATACAAAACAATAATCTTGCCTGTTGTTTTGTACGGGTGCGAAGCATGGTCTCTCACTCAAAGGGAGGAACACAGACAGCAGGTGTTTGAGAATAGGGTGTTGAGGAGGATATTTGGGCCTAAGAGAGAAGACGATGGGGCATGGAGAAAACTGCATAATGATGAGCTTAAAAATCTGTACTGCTCCCCCACTATTGTCAGGGCAATTAAGTTGAGAAGAATGAGATGGGTGGGGCATGTAGCATGCATGGATGGGACAAGAGGTGTGCACTGGGTATTGGTTGGGAAACCTGAAGGGAAGAGACTGCTGGGGAGACCTAGACGTAGATGGGAGGATAATCTCAGGCGGGATCTATGGGAGATAGGAGTTGAAGGAGACTGGATTTTGTTTGGCCCAGGACAGGGTCCGGTGGAGGGCTTTGGTTAATTCGGTGATGATCCTTCGGGTTCGGTAAGCCATCTAGTTAGTTAGTTATTAAAAGAATTAAATAGTAATTCTGGTTTACTTTGAACTACCTGAAACCGAAGGTGTAGAATTGGCATGGGCTGACTCTGGCCTCCCATTGTTTTTTATTTTGACTACAAGTGTTATGACTTTTTAAGCATACTCTTTATGACATTAATTTACTTGATGTGTAAAATGTCAAGGTGTTATTAACATAGATATACCAGTATTTGTACCTGCGTAATCATTGTTATGGCCAATTTTACCACTTTACACTTACATTTTTAGTTAATCAGTACACTGGCCTTGATTCTTATTGTAATTATGTAGGAATTGAGGTTTTCATGGCAGTGAATCTGAAGACAGCCATTTTCTGAGTTATAGCATTATCACCCTGATGATGGAGGCAGCAAGGACCTCTGAAAACTAACTTGATATGTAATATTAGGGCATGTGGCCCAGTACTACATAAACATTGCTCATGTCTTGTTTTAGTTTAGGAAACTATTCACAACCTGAAGCATACCTATGTAGTTCTTTGTATGCACATTTTATATATGTATGTAGGGCTTACTGTATGCTTTCAACATTTTGTCACAATACATTAAAAGTTGTATCTTGAACTGTTAATGTGTGTGGCATATTAAATCTAAACGAATTAGTGTTGATAATATATTATTAACAATAATTGCAGCTTCTGCAGCATGAAGGTTTTCAGCGGCCATACAAATGCCTGTTCCACGTAACAGCATGTTGTCAGAAAGTGCAGGCTGGTCGGTACAGGAAATCCCCAAAGGGCGACAAACCTCTTACTTATGAAATGGCTAATCCACCATTTTACATTGCTCATAGGAAATCTTGGAACTCTTGGAATACATGTATGTATTTATGAAATTGTAATCTATCGCAGTAGTTTGTTTAGATATCTTGTACAGTTCCTCACAGGCACAGACTTGGCCATCACATTCATAAGTCATGTCATCAGTACGATGTAAATGATCAAGCATTATCCATTAAACCATTTTGTGCTCTTGTGACATCTCAAACAATCCAGTTTTCTATGTTTCTGTTCCTGAGCTGCAGAAAATATAAATTCTTTATCCTGACTGCCCCAACTATAAATTCTACACTTGTGAAGCATGCAATGCTTCAAATATAAAATAATGTAACTCCACATTTTTGATCATAACCTGATTAATAGGTTAAGCCCTGTGACATTATACCGTTCTTCTTCCTTGGCTGTACAACCCACAGTATACCTTTGGTACTTTGTATTCAGACTGTGAAAGTTGGATTTACATTTTCCATGTTCATGGCTTGTACCTTTTCTGTTATTACTACTTTTGACCTCAGGACTTATGCATGTCCATTTTTTGTAGTTGTGTTGCCTATTTTTAAAACACTCTGGACCAACTTTTTCCATGGTTTTGAATTAATTAGTAATGCATTTATTGGTATTAATTTACCAATTAAGTAATAAATGGTAAATGTTTAATAAACTAATTAATAATCATGCATCTTTTCTCCCCCAGTAATCAGAAGTTTACTGTTTCTTCCATAACAAAATCAGAAGTATCTTTTACATGTCGATATGTGATGTAACTTTAACTAAAATATAAACTCCATACCATTTTGTACTTCATGAAAATATGGTAATGGATTTTTGCTGTCTTGAATGTTGGTTTAGATGTAACAGAACTGCAATGGAATTTTGATTAAATTTGAAATTGGAGTTTCTTGCTCTATGTTACAAAGCAGATTCAATTTTATGCCCCACTACCTTGACTGATGCTTGTAATTGAAACGTGATATATATTTTCTTGGCATTAGTACCAACTTTTAAATATTTACATAAATATTATCTGATTAAGGTTTATTTTGTGCTGCACCTTAATTGTAATGATGGTGTTTCAGCTAATCTTGAAGGTGGCTTGCGGCCAGCAGAGACTGCCTTAGAAGATCTTTTCATCCGCAGATTTATGACTGGTACATGGCATAATTTATTTGAATCTGAAGTCATTATAAAACGTCAGCACAACATAATTCGAATAGCAGGTATTATTCGTCAAGCTATCAGTTCAAGGAAGATGTATTTCCTTATTGGTTACTGTGAAGAAATGCTCAGTTTTTGGCTTCAGTGTCCAGTAAAACTTGAATTACAGACTGTAGCAGAAAAGAAAGATGTTGTCTTTAAATACATTTAATGATTCGAAACATGTTTCTGCATCGATTGGAACTATTCATACACTGATTAACTACGTAAGGAAGGCTGTAAAACAGTAATCATTAATAAACATATATGGCTTCTTTCATGGTGACTGAACTTGATAAAATCCTCTCAGGCAACAAGCTATATCATTTCTGGGCAGAAGCCCAACGTTTCGGAAAACTCTGCCTCCATCATCAGAGGAATGATGTGATCTGTCATCTCCCTGATGGAGGCAGAGTCTTAAATAAATTACATTTATATTAAAAATTTCTGCAAGCATTTAGTCTTCAGCTGAAACTACATGGGAAAAATTTTGTAACATTTTCCTTATCTCCAAACACTAAGGAATCTAATATCAGTCAAATCATCCCTCTAAAACAATTGAATCTGTAAAGATGAACATAAATCAGTGAAACTGGGGATTATGTGATCTGAAAGTTATTCAAAAAGTTATTTGAAAAACAATCATTTATCACTTTTAATTTTAAATGCCCTCCTATTAATAAAACCATTGTTGTATTTTCATAAATGTTTGTTTACATGTTCTGAATTCGCCAACATTTTGTAGCTGTCTGACGTTACTCAGATTCATTGTATCCTGATAATCTCAGATCTTTTATTTTAAATGTCATTTATGGACTATGTACATGATTGTTAATGTTATAATATTAAAATGACATTTCAAACTACAGAGGACTTCTGTTGTAGTTGCAAAAATTGGACCAAGTGGTAGGGCAGTACATCATAAAACTGGTTAAGTCTGAGTAGCCTTGTTCATTCTAAGAAACAATCAATAAATAACAATCAAAATACAGCGCTGTTCTTTTTTTTTAATTTTTAGTAAACAGTCTACAGTAAAAAAAAAATCAAATAACTCTAATGTGCAAGACCTGCAATATGGTGTATATTGGTGATAGTCTTAAACAGTACTAAACATGTTGGGTTTGTGACGAATTGATGCACAAATATTACTACAATAATTTTTTCACGAATAAGCAAAGCCATAATGCACAAGCCTGGAAACAAGGGGGGGGGGGGGGGTTTCTGGT